CAACAACAACAACAACAACAACAACAACAACAACAACAACAACAACAACAACAACAACAACCACGACGACGACGACGACGACAACAACAACCACAACAACCACAACAACCACAACAACCACAACAACCACAATGACAGCGACAGCGACAGCGACAGCGACAGCGACAGCGTCAGCGTCAGCGACAGCGACAGCGACAGCAGCAGCAGCAACCACAACGACGACACCAACCGCAACGGTGTACGACAACCGCGACGACGAGGGCGACAACAACAACAACGACAGCGCAGCAAGGACGACGACAACGCGCAGCGACAACATCAACGAGCACAGTAGGGCAACAGCGCAACCAGCGCCGACAACCAAAGAACCAGACGCAAAGAACCAAGAATGCGCACATGCAACGAACAACAAACAGGCGATGCAGCGCAACACAACCCAACCCAACCCAACCCGACCCAACCCAACCCAACCTCACCCAACCAACCAACAGCACCAACAGCACCAATAGCACCAACAGCATCAATAGCACCAACAGCACCAATAGCAGCAGCAGCAGGAGCAGCAGCAGCAGCAAGAGCCACAACAACACTTGACATCCATCAGTCCACAACCTGCTAACCAACAGTCAACAGCGGCACGCGGCCTTCACCTGAGCGATGCTTAAATCCAGGATGAAGTGTGGGATAGTCTTAACCAGCGCCACCCTCTAGCGGCTCGTTCCATGGCTTTTTTCCCTTGACCGCGCCCCGCGCCACCCTTTCGGCTCGCTCCGTGGCCGGTTTTTTGTTGGGTCCTTTAAGCCAAACCCCGGTTCTCGTGTTGGGGCCCCCAAAACCTCCACGTGCCCCGCGCCCATCCGTAGGTCGAGGCCGAGAACTTCGAGGGGCAGAAGTCCGCGGAGGCCACGGTGGCGCAGCTCACCATGTCGGACGGAACCGGCGGGCGACGGGCGACGCGACACGCGGCCGGAGTGGGCGGTGGGTTCAAAGGGAAGCCACCGGAAAATCCGTGGGGATTGGTCAAACCATGTTTTTGAGGGTCCCCTAGTTTTTGTTTTCATTTGAAGGGACACCAACAGGAACAAACTATTTTCAGGGTCTAAAAAAAGACACCCGTGCGGGTGTGGCTCAAAATTCGAGAGCCAGGGGCAGATTTAGTCGACTTTTCCATTTGCCAGGCCTCTACTTTGACCCGGTTTCTATTTTTGAGCCACACTGGGGTGATGGTCCACGAGCCAAGGTTCCCAAAGGTACCTTGTGAGTCAACATGCAGGGTGGCTCCCAAAAGGAAAGCTGTTTGGCCAATTTGGGGGTCCCCCTAACACAGACACCCATTGCAAACTTCTAGCTTTGACACAAAGCACTGACATTTTTCCTTCTTCATTTTGGTTGGACTTGTTAACCTGGTTTGCATTCGCTATGGGGTACACTCACCAAAGGCTGTTTAGCAGCAAGTTGCGACCGGTTCCTGCGCTTCGGGGCGGCTTTTGAGCGACCGGCCCAGCCAGGAGAGATTGAAGCGCAAGCAGGACTTCATGAAGAGCTTGCGCCCTGACCGCAACGGGTCGGGATTCAAAGTAAATGGCTCCCGGCCAACGCTGGACTATATGCGGGTGTTAACGCGAAACCTTTCGGAGCCCAACGTTGTTAACGGGCACTTGAAGGCACCTTCACCACCAGAAATGGGTCGGGCGTGTCTTCTTTTTGAGGGTGTTTTGGGAGAACTTCTCAGGAACCCCCCAGACAACATTTGGGAACCACACCCGAAGCGCTCCGTCCGAGGAGCTGCCGAAAGGGCTCGAACCAGTGCGGGGCGACGGGGCGTTTTTCGCGGGGGGGGGGGATCGACCCATTGGTTGTGTCGTTGGGTTCGTTCGTCCGGATTTAGTGAACAAACAAATGAAAAGGGGCAACTCATTGCTTGATAGGCCAGCTTCTTGACTTCTGTTTTCCGGTCCGAGATTGATCACCGATTTCGGGTGATTTGGAAGCGGCAACGCAGGAACAAGGCCTCAAGGCGCAACAGCGACGTCACGAGTTGGATGCGAGATATTGGCGCGAGAAGTGTTCAGGGTTGGGGCGAGCATCTTTCAAGCGTTTCTCAAACTCTCTTTGACTAACCCGAGTTTCCTCTTCGGTCCGTTTCTTATCTCCACAAAAAGACGGGAGACTCCGCGCCTCACAAAAAAAAACCGGCCCACCCACACCTGACTGCCCTCCCCGGGCTTCCCATGTGTTGCCAGCCACAGCCTGGTGGATCCATCCGAAGAAGCCGAAGAAACGAGCGCGAAGAAGCCGAAAAAGACGTGAGAGCCGTGAGGTACAAGGCCAACTTGCACCACTCCCAGTCCGTTCGGGTTCCGGCGCCCCGCGGGCCCAAGGCTCGCGGGGCTGGGGGGCGGCTTTGGACGTGGACGTGGGCCAAGGTTTGGACGGGATGGGAAGCTTCTTGGATCCAGTTCGCTTGCTTTGCCGTCCGGGTTGGGACAAGCCAAAATGTGAGTGGATCGTCTTTTTTGCATCAAGCACAAAATAGCAGTCTCTTGTTTTCCCCCGGTTGGGGCAGAGAGATCTCGGAGAGTGGATGTGCCTCGGATCCGCCAGCCGGTCGGAGCGAGCGGAGCGAGCTTGGCGCGAGGCCATGTCCGAGTGGGCGGACGACGTGCTGGCGGCCTTCAGAGAGCGGGCCGGGGGTCGCAAAGCACCGGGGGTGGCTTCGGCGCTTCGGTGGATTCCGATGGATGCCGATGGATGCCGGGAGATGGGCGATTCGTGTGGAGCGTGTCGGAAGTGGGGAAACTCCAGGGCAACTGTTCGCTGAAGCTTGTTTTTTTTTTGCGACATGTTCACCGGAAGTGCTTGCAAACATCCCTCTCGCACTTCCACCTGATCACTACCCGAACCCAAAGGCGAGAATTCAAATAACTCCTTTCAAGCGCGCGACCTTTCTCTTTTTTATGGCATGTTTTGGTTGATTATTTTTGGCATGTTCTTGGCATGTTTTTGGCATGTTTTTGTGACTGGTTGGCTGGTTGACACCTCCCAGGGCCACACCGCCTCCGCCTCGCCCTGCAGCGACTGCCGGGCCTCGCCTGTCACTGAGAGCACTAGCTGGCGGAAACCTGAAGGGACAATCCAGGGAAAGCCCGAGAGAGCCAACAAACTTGGGGTCCGGAAAAGAGCCAAGAGAAAGCTGGGAACCCCTCAAAGGGGGGGCTTTTGTTCAGAGTTTTAGCAAAAACCACGGATTTTTGCGGATAAGTCACGATTCGATTCGGGGCCTCTTGTGCGAAAAGCAAGCATGGACTTTGCAACAAAGCCAACAGCAAACATGCAAATATACCGAAAGGATCCCATGGGCTGCATTCCTTTGAGTCACGTTCTGCAATCCCAAGGAACGAGATCTGCTTGATACAACTTGGGTGTCTCTTTTCAGGATTCGGAACCCCCACACTGTTTTGTTTGTTTGTTTGTTTGTTTTCCTTTTGGTTTTCCTTCAAAGCCACAAAGGGGGGACCAAGTCAAAAAAACAGTAACCACACCTTTCTATTTACATCCACGTCACACGGACCCACTTGGCCCGTTCGTAGCAGGGCGCCGTTCTGAGGACACCGAGCAGCACTGCGGCCTCGAGGGGCGACCTCTTCCACATGTGCACCTTTCAGGCAGACGCCGCTGTTCCTTTTTGTGAGGCAAAGTACCAAATCCTTTTGGGGTTAAGGGGAAAGGAACACAAAGGGCAAAACTCATTTTTTGGGTCTCCGTTTTGAGACAAGCCCAAGTGGTTTCGCTTGGGTTCGGTTTGGTCGGTCAGTTCGGTTCTGGTTCTAAAACATCTTCGCCTTTTTCTCCTTGGGAAAAACCAACGCACAGCACATGCCACAAGGCCCTAATTTCAGGAAGAGGCCTTAATGCAACTAGGAAACTGGCCATATGCTTGTCAGCTGGTGCGTTGCTTGTTCGTGGACTTTGATCCTAGGTGGGACACCCAGCATGTTCGAATTGAACATAGACCTGGCAACGATTGACGGAATCATCCCTCACCACACCCGCAGCTAGTGAATCAGACTGCCGGAGTTCTGACCCTGCGCTCTTCTTTTGGCCGTCACAAGCCCAGGGGACCAAAAGGAAGCAGTCAGACTGCCAAATAAACCACCAGGGACAAACTGCCAAACCACCAGTCAGACTGCCCGTCAACAGGTACCCCACTTCAACCCAAGCTTTGGGATTCGTGACATGGAAGCAGGCTGCTTGCTTGAGCTTCTTGCTGATCTCCCCGAGGTCGGGGACAAGGTGAAGCTGCAGCCTGGGGAGGTGCCATGGATGGTGACCGGGGTGAGAGGAAGCCGCCTTTCGAAAAACGTCACCCGGAACATCGTTTTTCTTTTGGGCATTTGTTGGTTTCCTTTGCACCGGCGCTTGAAGGATGATTTTTGGAGGATGTCACTTTAGTGGACCCAACAAGTTCTGTTGCCAAGGGCTCGAATGTCCACTTTCGGACGAAGCGGCCCCTGTGCCCAGGGCGACGACTCCGTCGGGATGGGGCAAGCTGGGGGGCTTGACTGACACGGGCATTTTTTAGATGAAGCCCGCTCCTGCCACATGCGATTGACGCATTTGATGCAATTGATGCATTTGGCTGTGGGTCAAGAATAGGTACGCATATGGATTGGACTAAAACCTGCGGTACCCATTTGATGCATTGGATGCAATTGATGAAATTGCTGCTTTGCCTTAGGTCACTGAGTGCGGTCGTGACTGCACTGGGCGCTACTTCGTCAAGGCTGCGAGTTGTGGGAGCTGTGCTGGTCAGAGGTTGATGAGCACATATGCATGTCCCTTGCCTCTGACAGGTGGCATTTCCGGACCAGCCCAATGAATGGCTTGTCCGGGTGCCCAGCAGTTGAGGTTTTCTTTTGTCTACGGTTTGCTCGATTCTCTCGAGTGCTGTGCCTGCATTTGCGAAAGTTTTGCTCGATTTCCTTTTCCACCTTTGCTTGGACGCTTTTTGGTCTGCAGCTTTTGGCGTGCTCCAGCGCAATGCTTCGCAGGCTGAGCCCCTGCGATTCTGTTTGAGAGCTTAGGCGGTTTGTCTCACGCAGGTGCCGCACATCAGGCTCAAACCCGAGAGTGTCTCGAGCAGGATTTTTTCCCCTCCCGCCGCGGCCTAAGAGGTTACGGCGTCAAAGGTTAAACCTCGCGCCCAAGTAAAAGATCACCGGCGCTCCAAACCTTTTCGAGTCAAGGCCAGGACTGGGCCAAGGCAAAAAACCTCCGCCTGCCTGACGCGCGCGTTTCTTGTTTTTCCCTGGGTGACACCTTGGGTCAGAGGCGACGGCTTCGGGATCGCGAGGTGCTCATGGCGAGCTCCCGCTTCCTCCGAGGCCTGGCCGGGGGCCTCAGACGGCGGGTTTTCTCGGGCGGGAAGCCACCCGGCAGTCCTCAAAAGGGTCACGCGGTTTTTTTTGCTTTTCCAACAAAAGGCAGACCCCCCTACAAAAGAGGCCGGGTTTGAAGGTTGGATTCCCTTTAAGCCAGCAGTGCCCTGGTGGGCATGTCCTTTTGGGTGACCCTCTTTTGGTTTCGCAAGGGAAACCCGAAGGAACCTCACCCCCTCCAACCACGGGAGCTTTCTTTCATCTATCGGGCGGGATTTGCACCAAAGCCGTACCTTTCTTCACAAAAACGGGCTTCCCCGACTCCGAGTCCCGTGACTTCCCTGGAAAGGACGGGGGGGGCCCCGTGAAGCCGCCGGACGCGATGTCGCTGCGAGGCCCTGGCGCTGCTGGCGTGCTGCGCGCTCTCGGCGCTGGACGCCTTCGTGGCGCCTCGCTTGGCGACGAATCGCCAGATGCGGGGCGGGGTGCAGATGCAGGCGGGACGGGGGGTCACGTGGGGGTTCATGGGGTTGGGGTGTGCTTCTTCGATTGGTGGTGGTTTGCTTCACATGGTTTGTTCACATGGGTGTGGTATTAAACCTTGCTGTTCATGCAGGCTTGAAGGCTAAGAACTATGGGCTTGCACTAGCTAGGCTGACCATGTCAAGAGTAGTCTGAACCACTGTGAGGCTGGCGAGTACACAGGCTTCGTGCCGGACATGCAGCGGGGCTCTCAGATGCACGCTGTGATTTACCTGGCAGGCAAAACAGAAGGGAAGTGTGGCACAAGTTAGCATGTGGGAACAAAGCAAGCGCCAGATGTTACCAGAGCTCGCAACCTTTTTGCTTGCTTGTGTATTTGCTTTCACCCCGCGACGCCCCACGAGTGCAGCTCAGAAGCGCAACCCAAGTACATCGCGAAACGGAGCGGAGCAAACCACAGAAGCACTTGCAGCAGCAGGAGTAGGAGCAACAACACCAGCAACCAGCAACCAGAACTAGAACTAGAACAAGAACAGCAACAGCAGCATCAGCAGCAAACAATATCAACAACAACGACAACGACAACCACAACCACCAACCAGCCAACCAGCCAACCAGCCAACCAACCAACCAAACAAACAAACAAACAAACAAACACACAAACAAACAAACAAACAAACAAACAAACAAACAAGGAAACGAAGAAACACAGCAACAAATAAACAAACAAACAAACAAACAAACAAACAAACAAACAAACAAACAAACAAACAAACAAACAAACAAACAAACAAACAAACAAACAAACAAACAAACAAACAAACAAACAAACAAACAAACAAACAAACAAACAAACAAACAAACAAGCATAATTCACAAAGAAACAAAGAAACAAGGAAACAAACAACGCTCAGACGTCCTGTAAACGCGCGTTTTTCTCTCTCGTTCTTTGCCCCCTGTAATGGCCGCAAAACCGCGCAAATCATATGGTTTTTCACAGGTTTCGAGCAAGTCCAGCAAAGGGTGGGCCGGATGTCCGAGTGGAACTGCAAGAGCACGGCCTATCCTTAGGTGACTCCAAATCAAAACCTGTTATTTAAATGGTCGCACTCCCAGAACCATGTACAGAATTAAAAAGGCTGACACCCCCACCCATTAAATTTGTTGGCATTCTCCCTTTCTACAAGGGTGTGGAGTTTCGCGTAAAAAAAACGGTCTTTGGGTGTGGGGGTTCGGGCGTGCTTACCATGTGGCCAGCATGGATGCAGTGCTGCGCGGGTGCACCTGAACGGGTGTTCTTACCATTCGGCGGGCATGGATTCCGTGCTGCGCGGGTGCACTTGAACGGGTGTTCTTACCATTTGGCTGGCATGGATGCAGTGCTGCGCGGGTGCACTTGAACGGGTGACCATGGCATTGTGCTGTGCACTGCGACCAGTGCTGCGCGGGTGCACTTGAACGGGTGTTCTTACCATTTGGCTGGCATTATGCCATGTGGCTGGCATGGATGCAGTGCTGCGCGGGTGCACTTGAACGGGTGTTCTTACCATTTGGCTGGCATGGATGCAGTGCTGCGCGGGTGCACTTGAATACCATTTGGCTGGCATGGATGCAGTGCTGCGCGGGTGCACTTGAACGG